GGGGCCTCCGCCTCCCGCGGGCCGCGACCCGCCTGCAGCGCCTCGGGCCGGCGTTCCGGACCCCCGCTTCGCCCCCGCTCCGAGAGCGGTAGGACCGGCCGAGAACGGGGGCCACCCTGGCCAGGCCTGGCCGCGAGCCGCTGCCGGCGAGGGGCGGCCGCCATGGCTTTCCTGTCCGGGGTCAGTTTTGGCGTAGGGAAAAGCGGGTGCCCCGGAGTTCGGAGCGGAGGTGGTCCAACGACTTCTGCCGCTCTTAGGAGACCAAGGCTGGGGGGAGGCTTTGCTTTTGTTACTGTTGGGGTTTGGGGAGGAGGGAGTTGAACCAATGGCTGTTCCGTGATTTAAGAAAATTTCCAGCATCCAAAGTTTCAAACAGCGGCATAGAAATAAACGAAGTAATCTTCTTGAATGGCAGTTAAAAAAAGGTTCAAGGTTTAGTGTAAGACTGGATTTGCAGGTTTAAAAACTTAACTCACGTTTCTGGTCGCTGTTCAAAAATATCTTGTGGGAACCAAGAGAAATTATCTGGCCCCAGAATTAACGTCAACTTTCTTTGTTTGGGGAGTGTTTTGTTCAGTTCTTGTGTGTGATGGGCTACTGCTGCAGTTATGGGAAATGGTGTAGTTGATGTTTTGGGAAATTTGCTTATCTTTTTATTTTATGGGCCATAGAACTTCAAGTTACTGCGTTAATACACTTTTGAGTCAGTATGTAAGTTGGTTGCAGTGTCGAATAATTCATTAGTAATTTGTAACGTATTCTTAAAAGAAGAATAAGGTAAAAAGTAATTTTTGCAAAAGTTTTACCTAAATGTGTTAAGGGGCTATGTTTCCCAGGTTTGTACTACGTGGAAGTGTAATAAAATAGAATATGTAGTTGTGTGAGGTTTGGAAAAAGAGCTTAACAAAAATGTAAGAGGTTGGATTATCCTCTAATTACATGAAGTTTGTGTGTGTCCCTTCCTCGGCATTCTTTTTAATACCTTTTCTCCCTTGATGTAGTCTGAATCCTTAGTATGTCAAATAGTAAAAGCTGTTGTATTCTACTTAACAGTTAAAACTTTTAGTTGAATAGAAATTACTTAGTAGCTTAGCTTTTTTTTTTTTTTAAATATTTATTTATTTATTTAGTGTGTGTGTGTGTGTGTGGCCAGCTCAGCCCACCAGGGGGCGGGGCTGGCTGGCATGTG